TTCCACCTACTGGTTTATCGTTTCCCACTTTTTCTGCTCTCCGTGCTTCTTTGGATTAGGGTTACGAATCTATGAAAAAACTGGCTCCTGGCTGAGGGCCCTTTACATCGAACTTTGACTGAAGTGCTTGACCTTTTCTGCTAGCCTGCGTTTGCGTCTTTTTGCGGAATTAAAATTTTTCCTTCGGATTTTACGCCTTTTTTAGCTGCAAGGTGACTCCTCCACCTACCAGAAGCGCCACTCGCTTCAGAAGCAGGAAATGAGTTTTGGAAAACCACAAACACACCAAGGAAAACCACAGCCACGCCGAAAAGTGGGTGGTGGTGGTGTCGGCAAGGGGTTGCACCAGTACCTAATGTAATCAGGTAAACCAATTGTGCGATGTAATGGGTCCTCCGACTTGGTTTGAAAATGCCCTTTTTGGTCTGAAAAGTGTCCGATTCGGTTTGAAAAGTGAATGTTCCAAAGGGGTTGTTGATCCACACGCCAACGATCGCCTTTCTGCTATTATCACAACATGCGTCTTAACCAATTTTATTGATCATGTACTAAGCAGCGCATAAATGTGATATTCTAGCGAATTCTTACAAAAAGGAAGGACTCGCAATGTAAGAATGGAACAAATAGGAGGAATTCCATGTGCTCAACTGGATTACGAAAAGAGACAAGTGTAGGAGCTCACGGGAAAGCAATAACATACAACGTAGCAGTTTTCTCGCCAAGACCGCGCAAAACACCTAACTTCAACGTCAACTTCTTACATCATATGTATATTAACTAAGCACAAAAGTAACATAAATCAACACATCATAACGAGTACTCAAGTGGTAAAATTGTAAACTTCATGATACATAAGTAAACAGATACAATGAGTGAATTACTCTAACCAGTTCCGAAGTCACCCTTTGCATTTCTAACGACCCATGACTGTGGTTTCATTCATCTCCTATCTCTCAAGATCCCTTGAAAATCCCATAAATCCGCAAGGGTCACTGCTGTCGTAGTTAGTTGCTCCATGGGAAAATTAGCACAGATTATATTTCTTTGTTATGAAAGAATTAGCATAAAATAGCGTAAGCAGGAGAATATGAGGGCGTGCCCAACAGGCAAGCCAAATTCCAGCCAGACTGAAGGATTCGTGAGGACTTTTGTAAAGGTCACAGCACGAGCAGTGCAGTCTTGTTCGCTGTGGACGCTGACGAGACGTCTGAAAAGGGCAGTTTTCCACCGTGGTCGTCCCAGCTTCCCGAATGAAGAGAGGGCTGGCGCCACGGCAGAGTTAGCCCCCTGAAACGAGCCAGCATCCGCAGCGAACAATACTGTGCACACTGCTATTGGTTGCTGCACGCGGTCCACCATTCACACGCTCTACAACCTGTTGCACAAATCGTAAATTCCTAATATTCGAGCTGATTGCAGCCGCACGAATATTTTATGATTTGTACAGCAGAGCCCAAACAATACCGTTGATCAGTGCTAGCCCGGATATCGATTATACAGCTTTAAGGAATCAAATTTGCAAAATTCAACAAAAGACTGCCTAGATCTCGAACACTGACTCGCGACCGCGTCAGGACAAACAGAAAGAATTGCTGCCGAACAGAACACATTAAAAGCAGTTTTCTGATATTGCAGTGACGGCGCCTTAAAGAGTACCGGGACCATGGCAGCGGTTGGAGACAAAACGATGACGGTGTGAAGCTCGATGAGAAACCGCCGTCGGTTCAACACGTTGACGAAAATCGCGCTAGGTGGGAAAGCGCGGTGTGCGACAAAGGCGTCTTTTCGCTTGCATCCGCTGAGGGCCACCGGTGCCTCATCATGGTCTCGTAGACCATTGATTGTGCAATCTTGCGCGGACTGCTTTTCTTACCATCCACGATCGCACTGCACACCACCGCAAGCTCCGCCCCCACAACCACGCCCACTTTTTGAGGCTATTAAACAATTCCGCTTTTATGGCTTTCTTTGCATTTTAGCTTTTTCGCACATATACAATAAACAATAGACGTCTATGTCGACACATGGGCGACTTAGCCCAGTTGTTAACAGGCTTGGTGTAAACTTCAAATTTTTACAACTTTTTTATCGTCGCCGTTTTTGAACCCACTCCTCACATAATGGAAGGAAGCATTTATGCGTTGGCACAATTACCTCTGCCCAGAAACAAATGCTATATTCGTGATAAGGACGTTAAAAAACCCTACAAGTTCATTTCGTGCAAGAAAAAATATGTTAGCGCCGATATTTCTTGTCAGTAAATAGACGTTAGCGCCGGACTGGCACCTATTGGCGCCATACGACGCCAGCTCTGAAGGGAATTATTTATTTGAAAAAGGGCGTCAAATAACTCAGGTATAGAAGTTTCTATCGAATGCGGTGCTAAAAAATTGCTAGCGCCAAGCTGGCGCCTGTTGGTGCCATACGGCCCCGACGACAAATCCGGTCATCATGTTTGCAATCAGAGTGTCAAGTAATCCGGTGAGGGTTTCATCTAAAAAGAACAATTCTAAGTTTACCTCGGCAATAGTTAACTGAAAAACCCAATTTTCGATTCCGAATTTTCATAGAAACAGCAACATTTTCTGTGCTTTCCATCCCTAATGAACGTTCACCTTTCACAATTGATTAGTAAACAAAAAGAAGATTGGCAGAAACCAGCAGCAATAACCCGAAAAGTGGTGCAAAAGTTATGGGCCACAGGTGGCTCATATTGTCCCAGGTGGTCACACGCGTACGAGCCACCAAGGCTCATGATTTCGTCAACGTGTTAAACGTTATGCGACAGTCCTGGTCACCCAGATAAAACGCACACATATTGAAATGCTAGTTGGCTGTACAAGACTACGTATGGACATAACGACTATCAGAGGTGAGAGGAACGGAGCCAAGGAAGATAAGGACGAAACAGCATAAAACGGTTTCTTTTCCAACGAAGCAAGTACCAATTAGAAATATCAATAGCAAGAATGTTGCTAATCTTTAGTAGTTCCTACATTCAAAAATGAACGTCATCAGCCACATAAGAAGGATTTCAGTGAAGGATGAGGAGATGAGGAAATTTTACTAAAACGTACTAGGACCTCCTCCTCTTCTATGTGATGCCTTGTTAAAGTAAAATAATTCCAGAGACCATTCCAATGACATATATTCCCACTATCGCAACAGATACAGACAAAACATTTACGTCGATAGAAGAACATCGCTCTTCATAGTGTTCCAGTGCTTTTAAACACTGTTCACGTGGCCTGCGTATGTAATTCATGTTGCTACATAAATAATGATGGATGAGAGTAACTCTCCTCTGATAGAGCTCGCGTCGCTGCCTTTTGCAAAATAGTTGCCTGTTCTACGTTGCTAAATACACTTCATTCTTGTTGGCTCCTCAGTTATCGCTACATCGCGTGTACAGGAAGACGGCACTCAGATCTGCACATTGAATTTTCCATAGCATTCTTTTCACTTCATGCTAGACTACGTAGAACATAGTGGACAACCCGGACGACTATCCGCTCTTGAACGATCACGACCACAACGAGCACAAGCCGGAGCGATGGCATCGTCCAGCTGAAATTTTACACATATTGAAATAGATTTTTTTACGACCAGCAATATAAACAAAGACCCTTTAATTGGGAAAACACTTAGTCCTTGCTAGTCTTCGTTCCGAGATAGGAACACTTTAAATGTCGCAGGGAACAGAAAAGAAAACGAAACAACCCACGAAAAAGATAACCAAATAGCGGAAATCGAAGACTCACGACAAAGATATTATGCGGTTGACTGTTCTGGAGCGCTGCCCTCAATACTCCATCACCATACTCGTTCGGTGGAGCAAACTGCGACGTGACGAGACCTCCCAACGACAAACCACTGCTTGCCAAGTGCATCTTAACCGCTTCGAGTTGTTGCATGAGCTGTAATTACGCTCATGAGCTGTAATTACTTGAAGTGGGACTAAAAAAAACATAAAATATGAAATTCGAAAGCCATATGTTCAAATGATATTCACACCAACGAACGGCAATAATGCAATGGTACTAGGGTCCCAAAAGCTCGGGACGTTTTCGAATTTTTTTTCGAACAAAATTTACTTTAATAAGAAACAAGATCGATCACCATGTGCCTTCTTCTCGGCAACCTGTTACCAATAACCAAGCAAAAAGAGGTTGTCTTGCTTCTAAAAGCTTCATAGTTCCGTGCCTGAGAAAGCAGCTGGGTCACTCTTGAGGTGCTTATATGCAGTCCTCATCATTGCGGAGCGGACCGGTGGGGCGTGGCAGTGCGGCTGCTTTGGTGCGGTTTAGCAAAATCGTTCTGCGCCAGTTTTTGAAGCGAGCAAGTACATTACTGTATAATATCCTTCGTATTACTCGTTTTCTACCACTTTTTGTCGCATACGCGTTGCAACAAAAAGGGCTGAGAACGGCTTCAACAGTGTGCGCACTCTTTCTGGCTGGCACGCCCCACCGGTCCGCAATAATGAGGACTGTAATTACATTTTTTACCCAGAAGATTGCCGTTGAGGAAATAGGTGAGACACCAGCCAGAAGGAGGTGAGTGAGAGGTGAGGGCTACAGCATGATAGTGGTAGAATTTTTCAACTAATTTCAGGATCTTGATTAATGTCCTTATTAAAACGTGTGGCCCTGAGTCGTCGTAGTATAGGCCAACATTGTCAGGACTATGTTCAAATCTGAAAAGATTTGTAAACTTCAAGGCACCGTCTAGTTGGTACAATGCAGACGATGTGGAGAGAAATACGTTGGGGAGACCGCACGACCGTTGAAGAATCGCCTAGTCGAGCACAGAAGAGCATTATCCAACCCCGCTGCTTACCCACGAAGCAGTTTCTCGCGGCACCGTACACTTAAGCACG